GTGCTTCGGAGAGGGGGCGACCCGCGCGGGGTAACTGGGTAACTCGGAGCCAGACTCCGGTCCGGCTCCGGCGGGCGGTGGTTCCGCTAGGCAGAGGGAGATGCGCGCCCGCGCCCTCGGCTCCGGCGTGGAGAGAGCTCTACCGGGGCTCTCAGACCTGGACAGGGTCCTTGGGCGTGGGGAGGCCGACTAGGGCTTGGGGGCGCCCGGGCGCCGATCGGGCCCCCTGCCCACGGCCAATTCCTGTCCCCTTACGGAGGCGAGCGCGCCCCTTCCTGCCCCTTGTCTGGGACCCTCGGGAGCGGGTCGGGAGGCTATGGTGGGCGGGAGCATCGGAGCAGGGGAGCATTAGACCGGCTGGGATGGGGGTGGTGGAGTGGCTAGGAGGCCTGGCACTGCCCGCCTAACTTCCTGCGCTGGATTCTGCCCCATTGTCCCGCATCTGCTCCTGCAGAGCCGGTGCCAGCTGTGAGGGCGTGGGCGCAAGCCTCCGGACACCATGAGTGTGGGCTTCATCGGAGCTGGCCAGCTGGCCTTTGCCCTGGCCAAGGGCTTCACAGCAGCAGGTAGGCCCTGTCGCCAGGAAGGGTCCAGGGGTGAGAGGGTCGGCCAGTTACCCTTCACTAGCCTGAAGGGTCAAAGTGAGGTTTTGGTAACTTGCCTCATTTGAGCCCGTGAGAAAAGGTAGCCTTGGGATGTTTGGAGTAAGGTGGGGGTGGCTCATAACCTGGGTGGTGGAATTTCTGCTTTCCCTCCTGGGAATGTGGGGGAGGGACGTCAGGACTGGCCTTGAGGGAGCAACTCCGTCTCCCACAGGAGTGCTGGCTGCCCACAAGATAATGGCCAGCTCCCCAGACATGGACCTGGCCACCGTTTCTGCTCTCAGGGTAGGTGCACCATGGAGGGTGATCGGCAGCTGTGCCCACAGTGGTCAGTCAGTGGCTGGAGGCAGGTGTGTGACTCTTAGCCCTGGAGGACCAGGAGTAGAGCCCCCAGTTGGGGAGGGGGACTCCATGGCACAGCCCCCCACCCCAGTGAGAAGAGGGTCCCTGAGCTGGAGTATCTCAAAGACCCTGCCTCTTGACCTCCCCCT